AGTACATATGGTCATATTTTAACTTTTCTACCAGGGCAATTTTTTTAATTTACCGCACAAATGTCTGCATTTTTTTACTAGAAAATTAATTTTCCATTGGTTGTACTTTAAAAGCCTTTATAATTAACAGTTTAGAATTAGCCATGAATTATTCCCATAGGATTATTTCTCTCACTCTGATGTTTGTGGCAATTTCTCACATGCCGTTCATGTGTGTTTGCATTCAAATGTGATAGCAGGGTGATGGGAGTCTTTTTAAACTTTTAAACATTATTTTTGTTTATTTTATTATATTTCACTTTTTGCAAGAATATGATTTATATGCATGTATGAAAAAAGTCAAAGATTAATTCAGAAGGATCATCGAGGAAAAAGGCCAGTGATGTCCTTATTGGAGCAACCACAAAGATCTATAACACACTACCACGACATTTTCTTGTAAATTTTAAAGCAACTTAAAGATAATTTTACTAATGTAGTTGTATGTTATTAAAACAAAAACAACCTGTGCCACAAGAACTATGTAAAAAAATTTGAAAGTGAATGCTTCTGTGCCTTGATAAGAATCAAAAAAAAAGATTGATAAAAATCAAAAAATCAGCGAAACAATAAAACAGCGCAAAACATGAAATTAATCAAAAATAATTATACACAAATCATAATACATTCTGTGGTTAGAAAATAAATGTCCAAAACCAGCAAAATGAAAAAAAACATTTTGTCCAAATACAAAAAGTGATGAAACCAAATACAAAGAAAGTCCCCTTTAAACATGCAAATAGTGCTCCAAAAACATTTAGGATAAGTGTAATATAGAGAAAAGACTCCATGGATCTACACCTTCCTGTGAATACTGATGTATTCTGCACTCACCAGAGATAAGAATAAATTGCACTTTATGGATACCATATTATCCTCCAATTCCCAGGGAAAATTTCCTCTCCATAGCCTCCTCCATATACAAGAGCTTCCTTACATCCAACTTCAAGAGGGATTTCCCCTCATAACAATGTGTTATATAGGAAGACAAAGGAGAACCAGTAGTGCAATATTCCAAAGACTTTTAATTGAATAAAATAGTGCTCAATTTACTCACATTATAACTTAAAATAAGTTGCCAATTGACAAAATCCTCCAAAACAGACTTCCTAGTGTAAAACGGATTCCAGAAAGTAAACCAAACTGGCAGCACCGGAAATGACACCGGTTCCTCATCACTTACATACTACACTGGCGTGCCTCCCACCTAAGAATTAACCAATTAGGATTACTTATGGTAAATCGGGGAAAAATAGGGTAATATCCACCTTCCCACGATGCCAAATAGTCATTAATAAGCTGGCAGTATGTTTACCTATCGGGTCCCCTTTCATAATAAACAATAAAGTTAAATGAAAATCAGTTTGGTTTACTTTTTGGAATCCGTTTTACACTAGGAAGTCTGTTTTGGAGAATTTTGTCAATTGGTGACTTTTAAAATAAGTCACCAATTGACAAAATCCTCCAAAACAGACTATACAGGTACTTATATAGCTCTGTCAATTTACGCAGCGCTTTACACATATATATTGAACATTCACATCAGTCCCTAACCCTCAAGGTGTGTACAGTCTAAGTTCCCTAACTCACATTCATACATACACATATTAGGACCAACTTAGACAGGATCCAATTAACCTACCAGCATGTCTTTGGAGTGTGGGAGCACCCGGAGGAAACCCACGCAAGCACAGGGAGAACATGCAAACTCCATGCAGGAGGCACCATGGTTGGCAATAGAACCCATGACCCATTTACTTCAAGGCAGACGTGCTAACTGTCGCAAACGTGTGCACCAGAGACCATTTTGTTAATAATCTCCATGTTCTCCCTCATTCTTCCCCCTCCCTTCCTGAGAGGCCCAGCGACATGTGGCCAGTATGTGTGTGAGTTAGGAATGTCACAGGAGGGTCATAGGAGGTATAAAAGCCCCCAAGGGAGTCAGAACCTCTCTGTCCAGAGAACCTGTGCCATTTCACACTTCAGAAGAAATAAGGGAAGCTTTCTCAAGAGTTGAGAGAGATTCCAACCTAATAAAACCTAACTCAGCATAGGTGGCAGAATCAGGTAACCTTTGTTAAATCCATTCTTCCCCTATGTCTCATATCTATGAATAAGAGAGACTTACATAAAAACTGAGCATATCGCCAGATGGGCTAAGAGGAGCCGAACATTTTGGTAGGTCACTCGCCTTGTCTCGGACACATAGGAAAGCAGAAAAATAGATCTCGTGAACAGTGCAGTGCACACTCTCATAATTCATATCTGATTAATCCTCAGACCTGTCTGCATAATAGTCTACCCATGGGTGGAATGTCCCTTGTGCAGATGGACAGTTATGGACCAAAATATGAGTTATGGGAGATTTTTGCTCTAGTTGAGGCATCCACCCATATCTCCATTGGAGATTGGTCCTTGATTTCAGAAACACCTCCTGCGGGGGCATGCAAAATAGGCTGTCAGGCCTAAGAGTGGAAGTTGAAGAATTCTCCCATTGACCATCGTAACATAGGGAGATCAAAGCACCCTTCTGCTCTGAAACTTGGATCTGCTAACCCAGGACTTTGGCAAGTACTTTAACCCTTTCACCTCTCTCTGATATCTCTTTTTCTGTGCTGTTGTTCTCTGTATATGTATATAGATATCTTAGTTACATCTTTTTTCTGTAAATATTTTTATTGCACCCGTTTGACCTTTTAGTAATAAATCTTTCTTTGTGAAAGTGTTGAATTGTTTCTATAGCTCTGTATTGCAATTTACAAATCCCTGCCTCTAAAGAGAACGCTACTGTGTTTGTTTAAACTTCTGTATAACCGGCCTGCGGACCGTCTTATACAGACGATTATCTCAATCATTATAGTGTTATAGCTGATAACACCAAGTTTCCTCTTTCTCTGTACAAAAAGGAGGTGGTGGCAGTGTGAGGGGTTAATTGCGTAATTAACCTGACCCAGTAACAATCACCCAGGCTGCCGGTACATCGATTGTGGCCCATTAGCTGGAAAATCGTTGTGCAAGGTGCAGCTGGGTGTGGCATTGTTATGCACGTCACATCGTGGTTCTAGATCGGCTAGTCCTTCGGTCACGAGTTTGGTGAGAAGGTCTGAGGTCTGACACCGCGATCGTGGCACTAACCACAAAGCCACTGTGCCACCCAAAGCTTAATGTCAGGAATGGACTTGCCAATAATGGTGGGACTCACCTGCCTTGTGGGCTGCAGTACCAGGGCTGACCAGCGGGTGCTCTCAGCAATCAGAGACTCAACCCTGCAGTCAGCCAAACACCTGAGGCTGATTGCAGGTGTATTTAAGGGATGGCCAGACTTGCAGTCTGTGCCTTGATGTGTGTGTTTTTCCATGGGCCCCTGTATCTTGTTACCTGCGTTCCTGTCTGACTGATTTGTTGCCGACCCTGCCTGATCCAGACCTCTGCTGACTTCTCCTGTTTGATCCCTGGCTTGTGACCCCAACCATTCTCTGCCTGACCCCCTGTACCTACCTGCCGTTAGTTGCTGTACCCGGCTCGTGACCTGACTACTCTCTGCCTGTTCCTACCTGCCCGATTGTTATTGACCCGGCCTGCCTGACTACGCTTGCATTGTATGTATTGTTATCTGTGGGTGGTTTGGTTTGGTTCGTTTGCACTGTGTTATGTTTTAGTATTGCACTGCGTTTATGTATTGTTAGTATTAATAAATTATATTGTTTATAACATATCTGAAGCCTGCGTTTCCCTGCGTCAGTTCACATACCTCTGGTCATACCCGGAGCTCTGACATTACACCAAGGCCAATCCTGACCAGAAGTGGCTGCACAGGGAAGCCATCTTGGCTTGTTGCTGGGAAGGATGGATCTTGATGAGGTTGTGTATTTGTCGCTGCTGGTTTTTGATGACAGAGAATATGCTTATCAGACTCTGAGGGAGTATACCCGGGATCAACTGCTAGAATGTATATGGATCGCTCATGTTCTAGTAGATCAGGGCACAGAGTTCTCTGAGGTGCAACCTTTGATTCAGGTTTGTGTAGAGTTGGCTTCATCTGGTACCCCTGAAAGCAGGAATGACTTTTTGCCACCATTTAGTGCAGACCAGGTAGAGTCCCTGGTATGGTTATTAGAGGATGATGTGGATTGCTTCTTGGAGCATTATGCTGCATGTTCATCACAGGTATTAAGGGATTGTATAAACGCAGTGCAGTCTTTGACCAGACAGGCTTTGTGTAAGCTCAGCTTTGTTCAACCCATACTGCAGACATGGTCAGACTTGTTGCACCCAGCCTCAGTCAGCTTGCAACGTCATTCCTCTGCTCAAGGCACTCTTCCTGCATCCCCGACAGCACCCCCAGCGACGGCCCAGTATACTCTGCTAACTACCACATACCAGTCCCCTGCTCCCATTCGCTGCACCTATCCTTTCTTTGGCCCTGTGGAGAGGTCCTCTGTGGCGGCTGCTCCCTCCTCTGTTCCATCTTCCAGCTCTTCTCTGTCCTCAGCTGCTCCATTCGTGTGCAGACCTGCGTTTACTTGCAGTGCTCCAGTAGTTAAAACCAGAAAAAAGCGAACATTCTTTCCAACCAGTACCATCCTGCCAGTATCCAAACCGGTGAGCCTGCCGTCTGAGAACCTGCCTTCCGTGGTTCAGCCTGGTGCCTCGGCACCCGCACTTCAGCCTGATGTCTCTACCCAGCCTGATGTCTGTACCCAGCATGATGAACTGATCCAGCCTGATGATCCTATCACGCCTGATGACCCAGTGCCCGCTGTCATACCTGGTAACCCGATGCCCGCTGTCGAGCCAGACGATCCAATGCCTGATGACCCGGTGCCCGCTGTCGATCCAGATGATCCGGTACCTGATGACCCAGTGCCTGCTGTCATGCCTGGTGACCCGATGCCCGCTGTCGAGCCAGACGATCCAACGCCAGATGACCCGGTGCCCGCTGTTGATCCAGACGATCCGGTACCTGATGACCCGGTGCCCGCTGTCATGCCTGGTGACCTGATGCCCGCTGTCGAGCCAGACGATCCAATGCCAGATGACCCGGTGCCTGCTGTCGAGCCAGACGATCCGGTACCTGATGACCCGGTTCCCGCTGTCGTGCCAATTGACTCAGAGCCCACTGTCGTGCCTGGTGACTCGGTGCCCACTGCCTTGCCAGATGACGCGGTGCCCGCTGTCGAGCCAAATGACCTGATGCCTGGTGACCCGATGCCCACTGTCAAGCCAGACGATCCAATGTCTGACCCAGTGCCCGCGGTCATGCCAGTTGACTCGGAGCTCACTGTGTCGTGCCTGGTGACTCGGTGCCCACTGCCTTGCCAGATGACGCGGTGCCCGCTGGCGAGCCAAATGACCTGATGCCTGGTGACCCAGTGCCCGCTGTCATACCTGGTGACCCGATGCCCGCTGTCGAGCCAGACAATCCAATGCCTGATGACCCAGTGCCCGCTGTCATGACTGGTGACCCGATGCCCGCTGTCGAGCCAGATGATCCAGCGCCAGATGACCCGGTGCCTGCTGTCGAGCCAGACGATCCGGTACCTGATGACCCGGTGCCCGCTGTCGTGCCAATTGACTCAGAGCCCACTGTCATGCCTGGTGACTCGGTGCCCACTGCCTTGCCAGATGAATGGGTGCCCGCTGTCGAGCCAAATGACCTGATGCCTGGTGACCCGATGCCCGCTGTCAAGCCAGACGATCCAATGTCTGACCCAGTGCCCGCGGTCATGCCAGTTGACTCGGAACCCACTGTCGTGCCTGGTGACTCGGTGCCCACTGCCTTGCCAGATGACGCGATGCCCGCTGGCGAGCCAAATGACCTGATGCCTGGTGACCCGATGCCCGCTGTCATGCCTGATGACCCGGTGCCCGCAGCTCCGCCTGGGGGCCTGGTGCCCGCCGCCCCTCCTGGGGGCCTGGTGCCCGCCGCCCCTCCTGGGGGCCCGGCGCCCGCCGCTCTGCCTGGGGGCCCGGTGCCCATCGCTCCGCCTGGGGGCTCGGTGCCTGCCGCCCCTCCTGGGGGCCCGGTGCCTGCCACCCTGCCTGGGGGCCCACCGCTCCGCCTGGGGGCCCGGCGCCCCGCCACTCCGCCTGGGGGCCTGGCGCCCGCCGCTCCGCCTGGGGGCCCGATGCCTGCCGCCCCTCCTGGGGGCCCGGTGCCCGCCTCTCCGCCTGGGGGCCCGGCGCCCGCTGCCCCACCTGGGGGCCCGGCACCCGCTGCTCCGCCTGTGGGCCCAGTGCCTGCCGCCCCGCCTGGGGGGCCCTGTGCCTGCCGCCCCTCCTGGGGGCCCTGTGCCTGCCGCTCCTCCTGGGGGCCCTGTGCCTGCCGCTCCTCCTGGGGGCCCTGTGCCTGCCGCTCCGCCTGGGGGCCCGGTGCCTGCCGCTCCGCCTGGGGGCCCGGTGCCTGTCGCTCTGCCTGGGGGCCCGATGCCTGTCGCTCTGCCTGGGGGCCCGATGCCTGTCGCTCCACCTGGGGGCCCGGTGCCTGTCGCTCCGCCTGGGGGCCCGGTGCCTGCCGCCCCGCCTGGGGGCCCTGTGCCTCTGCCCGGAGTCCAGCCCGATGTGCCTCTGCCCGGAGTCCAGCCCGATGTGCCTCTGCCCGGAGTCCAGCCCGATGTGCCTCTGCCCGGAGTCCAGCCCGATGTGCCGCCGCCCGGAGTCCAGCCCGATGTGCCGCCGCCCGGAGTCCAGCCCGATGTGCCGCCGCCCGGAGTCCAGCCCGATGTGCCGCCGCCCGGAGTCCAGCCCGATGTGCCGCCGCCCGGAGTCCAGCCCGATGTGCCGCCGCCCGGAGTCCAGCCCGATGTGCCAGTCTTTGATATCCCGCCAGTTACCAGACCCGGGCGGTGGAACATTTTGCCCAGCTAGAACTGTTTGGAGCGTCCTGAGGCCGCTCCTTGAGGGGGGGGGTACTGTCAGGAATGGACTTGCCAATAATGGTGGGACTCGCCTGCCTTGTGGGCTGCAGTACCAGGACTGGCCAGCGGGTGCTCTCAGCAATCAGAGACTCAACCCTGCAGTCAGCCAAACACCTGAGGCTGATTGCAGGTGTATTTAAGGGATGGCCAGACCTGCAGTATGTGCCTTGGTGTGTGTTTTTCCATGGGCCCCTGTATCTTGTTACCTGCGTTCCTGTTCCTGTTCCTGTCTGACTGATTTGTTGCCGACCCTGCCTGATCCGGACCTCTGCTGACTTCTCCTGTTTGATCCTGGCTTGTGACCCCGACCATTCTCTGCCTGACCCCCTGTACCTACCTGCCGTTAGTTGCTGTACCGGCTCGTGACCTGACTACTCTCTGCCTGCTCCTCCTGTTCCTACCTGCCCGATTGTTATTGACCCGGCCTGCCTGACGACGCTTGCATTGTATGTATTGTTATCTGTGGGTGGTTTGGTTTGGTTCGTTTGCACTGTGTTATGTTTTAGTATTGCACTGCGTTTATGTATTGTTAGTATTAATAAATTATATTGTTTATAACATATCTGAAGCCTGCGTTTCCCTGCGTCAGTTCACATACCTTTGGTCATACCCGGAGCTCTGACACTTAATGCCTTTTGAGCTCCTCTTAGTGTTCCTTTCAAAGTATTGGGGTATATGAATTGTAGCTGTATTAGTACACTTGCAGCAAAAACAATTGAGTACTGTCTGTAATACTTTTTTATTTGCACTAATATTAACATTTTCATGACAAGCTTTTGGGGTGTACCCCTTCTTCTAAGCTGTTCTCTAAGCATAATGCTGCTTTTGTTAAAAACAAAAATAGCAATTGCTTCTGGCTGACCAAAGAATATTGCAAGGATTTTAACAAACTTTGTTGCAGAGTCCTATCTGTTTCTGCTCTGAAGGAATACCACTTTGTCAGATCATGTCTTGTGCAGGACTGATTCTGAATAGAAGTGACCTTTTCATTTTTTTGATCAGCTTGATGCACTTGCAGGGTTCTAATTAGGAGAGTGGAATGGTCTGCATTCCTTTAGAAGAGATTAACCCTTTAGGAGCACCTCACCAAAACTGACATTTTTGTTCCAGAGGATGCCTAAAATATGACTTGCATAATAGTGCAGACTTCTGGGAAAATCAGTGAACCAATTACACAAGCAGGGAATGACATCTCTGGGGGTGTTCCGTATACCCACTGTTTATGAAATGCCTCCAGGCTGCCATATTGCATTGAATTGTAGAGAATGTTACAGCCCTGCAGATTGAAAAGGAAAGGTCATTTTTAATAACATTACAATAGAACATGGCTTGTGTTGCAGTTGAGCATGATAAAAATACTGTACATACACAGTAGTGGTAATTAAACTGGGATAGCTGGTAAGGAAAGGAGTGGGATATGGAATGGAAAGGGGTAGGAAAGCATGACGAGGTGAGAGTGTTCATGAAACTGTTGGATAGTGATTTAGAAAGCTGAGATCCTAGTTTATTTCATTATCTTCTCAAACAGAGTTATCATTCTTAAGCTGGGTATATGTGTAACCAGCAGAATGAAGAAAAACAAAATGGAGAAATTATCGTATCCTTACAAGTGAATCTTCCCAGGCTCTCTATTGTATTATGACAGCAGGTGCTCACCCTGGTAGACTATATAGATCAGCACTGCAGCCATTGGCTGTATGTGCTGATCAAATGCTGGTTTTCCAGCAGGACTGTTTGACTAAAGCTGGTCTAATGACTGGCTTCTGTTTAACAGAGAGGGATACACACACTTTAACATTTGACTGGTTCCTGCTGAACCGCTTAAATTTTGATATGTATATACCCTGCTTTAGTTCAAACATTTTCCTTTCCTGAGTAATTTTAAAGTTTTTTTAAGGATAAAAACAGTGTCTTCCATACAGTAATCTGGTGAGAATTGATCTCCCACAGGCATGCAGTGATGTTGTTCCTTAGGTTCTTTTATGGCGTATGTTTGTAAATTCAATCTTTTTCATAATTTCTGTCCTGTTTCACCAATATAAGGTCTTTGGTTGAATTTTTTTGCATTGAATGAAGTCCACCACTGGAGGTACAGCTGTATTATCCTGTATTAAGGGTCTTCTAACACATTTCAACTGATGGATTTGGCTGTATAGTTTGCAGTGTTTATTGTTGCAAGGCTTTGATCCATTATTTGCATCTCTTCAATCAAAATTAATTATTCTGATTAATCTCCTATTATGATGGGTTGCAGGTCTTTATTTATCTTTCTTAACCCTTCTAGTGTTGGGTTGTATGTGATTACATTGTACTGTAGGAGGTTTTATCTTTGGGTTTTCAAGGCAGTGTTTATGCTAGTACTGATAGTTTTGTTCTTGTGATCTTTCCTATAGAAGGATTCTACTCATATTTTGACATGCTTCTTTCTGTCTTCTGGGTCAGAGCATATGCACAGGTATTTAGTTGCCTGGCTCTGTATGATGGCTGGTTTGGCGTGTTGGGGGTGAAACCTGGCATTGTGGAGATAGTTGCACTTGTCAGTGTTTCCTCGATATATAGGAATTTATAGGAGTTTGTTTTGAATATAGGAGTTGATTAATGCAACTATGTGTTCCCGCTTCCAACACAACACACTAAACAGTATTGCTTGGACCTTAGAAAAAGGGGGCACAGCCTGAAAGCTTGTCCTGAATATTTTAATGTTACTGCAAATGAAAAGAGCATGAATGGTACTCAAAGTATTGGGTACCTTCATTAGGCAACATGTGGAAGGAGCAGGATTAATTTTTTTTTTTGTATAATTCTTTTATTTGTGGATTGACATGCAGTAAAAACCAGCAGGATTATTTTAAACGTTTGCAGCAAAGTCTAGGTTTAAATATAAGTTAAGCTGTTTGTGCTGTACTTGCATAGTAACGCAATATTCACTAAAAGCAATTTCTGCATATGTAATTTTTCATCATATTCTTAGTTTAAAGTAAGAGAAAATGAACAGTAATAGCAAGATTAATCAAAACCACGAAATAAAATTTACAGAATTGGGTTTCAGGCATTCCATATGCCTAAAATGGTCAGCCACACTGTTGCATAGTATAAAACATTTTATTACAAAATTATTTATTCCACAAAGAATAAAAAATATGTCCATCAAGAAAAACATTTTTCAGAATTTACATAACCAGAGATCATGACATCAACCAACTCCATTAAATGTTCTAGAAAGGTTGAAAATAAGGTCAATGTGCATAGGTTGACGCGTTTTGTGGGGTCTCCCATTTCCTCAGGACATTTCGACCTCTGGTATTCTCGTGAATATAAAACAAAGCTGAAAGAGTATATAAAAAAACAAAATACACGTCAAGTTATGTAATTTGAACCAATCAAAATAGTAAGATTATACAATTAAATGGTTATAATCAAATAGTGTAACCTATCCTCCAAAGGAAGCGACAAGCAAACAAACAAGTCTATACTGGGAGACATACAGGAATATGTGTGCAGGGGGGGCAGAGGGGAGGATCTTGATTGGTGTGATTTCCTCCTTGTTTTGAAACCTTTTCATTGATTCTGAGGGAGAGGTGAACTTTTTTATATGCATGCATATTATTTTAATTTATTTATTTAGTTTTTATTAACTTGCCCCACCACTGATTGATGTTGGAATGATGCAGTTTGTACATTTAGCGTCACTGGCTCAACCTGTCTTATTAGTACTGGTCTAGAGAATAAATGCCCTATGGAAATATAAGGAAATGGATAACCACACACCAAATGCCGTAAAAATCTAAACTACTTT